GTCAGACCCTGTCAGAGAGTCACAGGCTAACAGCATCACAGTCAGACACTGTCAGAGAGTCACAGACTAACAGCATCACAGTCAGACACTGTCAGAGAGTCACAGGCTAACAGCATCACAGTCAGACACTGTCAGAGAGTCACAGGCTAACAGCATCACAGTCAGACACTGTCACAGAGTCACACAGATTGACAGAGGGACTATATTAGCAGAGTCAGGCAGCAATTCCATCCGCCCTGAGCAGTTTGAGCTGCAACACGTGGGTATCCACTCAGAATGTCAGTCCCAGCAAGATGCCAACACCCGCCAGCGATTCTATGGGAAGCCCAAGACGGGCGGGCATCCAGCTAAATTCCCGACAATGCTTACCGTCTGGCTAACTTAAAAACTAGTTCACAGGACCCTCCCTTCTCTCACCAACATCCCCCCCTCCCCAACTCAAAGAAAAAACGCAAATGCCAAACCCGCATTTACTGTTTTTTTAGTAACTGATCGATTAAGGCTGCTACGTTAGTTCATATGTGATAGGTACAAACTAACCCTCTATCCAATCTGATTGCATTCTGTACCCTGACTTACCACTTCCTGGCTCATTCAATCTTCAAATCATTCCTCACAGATACAGCACACCCTCCACCCCTCCGCCACATTCCTCACAGATACAGCACACCCTCCACCCCTCCGCCACTCCTCCTCCACCTCCTCCAGAGTCTCAATTGTTCTTTGCTGATCAGTTGATGTTGATCGATTATATAAGCAAAGCCAGATCATGACATTGCATGCATGAGTTTACACCTTTTCCAAGTTTCCCATAAACTTGGAAATTATTCACAACTGAAAAAAAATGCACTGGGTACCAGACACCCCTACCTCCTCCTCCGGTTTTCCCCACCTCCCCCCTCACCCCCTCGATCTCAAACTCCACCACCGTCCCCACACCTGCAAAGGTCTGTTCTGCAAAAAAAAGTGTCGAACCGCTGTCAGTTGAGTCTGGGGGGAGGGGGGGGTTAAAGAGAGAGACTCTGAGGCAAACACTGCGGACAGTCACCTCACTTCCTGGTTTGTCTCACTACTCCCCACCTCGCCTCCCCCCACCCCCCACCCCACCCCTCAACTTCACAGACAATTTGCAAACGACCCCGGACAACAACACATGAAACACGGCAGTGAACGTTTGCTGGAGAGAAAGTCCTCTATTTGTATTGCAACAGCTCGAATTGCACTTAGAAACACTTTCTGGTCACTTGTGTGTGTGTGTGTGTGTGTGTGTGTGTATGTGTATGTGTTTGGGGGGGGGGTGTTGAATGAGTTCATCATTCCCTGACAATGCTGGGGAATTAAATAACAACCCATCTGCTCAAAGCAGCTTCAACAACTTTTCACGCGTTAAACTTTCTCAATCAAAGCACATCTGTCCCCGAAATAATCACATTTTAAATTCTCCTCCATTGAGAAATACGATGATCTCTCTCCATTATTTTGCACTGCCTCTCTTTTTTTTGTCATTATGGTACTCACCTTTGTGTCTAATGCTCCGCTTCCAGTCTTTAGCTGTCTCCCTGCCGCTGACGAATTGAAATTCATTTGGCGTCAGCCACTCTCCCCTGTAGCGAATAGAGGGTCCTTTGCTTCCCTGACACAGTTTGTGGATATAGAGCAGGGCTCTGTTATCTCCGCACTCCACCTCGATGCAGGGCTGGCCGTTGTCGAAAACGGGCTGGAAGTCGGGGATGGACGAGACGCGCTCCAGCAGCAGCTCCTCCGGGTGCCGCGCCTCCTGCAGCCCCAGGAAGGGGCGCCGCGCCGGGCTGTAGAGGTGCTCATAGGGCGGCGGGTGAGAGCTCAGCACCGGTACACTCGCCGCGTTCAACGGGGCCAGGAACTCGGGCAGACCGTCCAGCAAGCCCCGAATGACCCCCTCCCTGTCGGCTCGCTCCTTCTTGATCGCTGGCATTCTCATGAGCAGCCCCTTATCTTTAGAAAGCACGCCTGCGATGAGTTCTTCCCTCTGTAGTTTCTCGTACTTAAAGCAGCCGTTAAAATGCAGGAAAAGCTTTGACCTGTGATATCCCCAGCCCTCAACGAGGCACGACTTGTCCGTTTTAATTGGGTCTAATATTCCGACCTCTCCCGCCTGTCTAATCTGCTTCTCCGTACCTGACATCTTCGAAAGGTATTCGCTGCCGTGTACATTATGTTGGTAAATGATTATTGATCCTCTATCGACCCACCTTCTCGCTGGAGCAGTTTTCACTGATACCCTTTTGCTTATTTCCGGGCGAACACGAAACGGGCAGCGGTTTTTTTTTTAATTCGATTGAACCACACTGGTCGATATAAAGTTTCCCCCTCTGTTCCCCTCTTTTCTCTCTCTCTCTCTCAATGAACCTGAACAACATTTACGGGCCACAGCAACTCTCTGTATGAACGATTACACATCTTTGCCTCCACTCTGATAAAACACACTTTCTGAAAAGTTGGGTCCTCTCTTACCAAATGTAAAAGTTTTTTTTGTCTTTTTAAAACAAAACTCTCCCTTTAGATTTCTAAACAGACCTGTGTTCTTTTCTGTTTTTCGAAAAAGGAAGTTATTACCACTGGACTGCTTCATACATTTTATTTTAAACCTACATTTTTTTTTCTGAAGTCACGCTTTAGTTCAGACACAGACGAAACATGATTTGCCCTCTGCTGCTGCGAACTTAGCCCATTTAAACATCACAGTCTGTCAGTGCAAGAACAGGGAGGTTCTCAACGGGCGACATGGTGACAATTTTCAGTACAATTAATTATAGAGTATTTCCTCCGGTACTGCTCGGGATCCAAGTGTCTCTACTTTTCGACAGGGTGCTTTCAATCAAATTCACTCATGAGTTTTTTTTAAATTTCCAAAAATATTGCCTCCAATTTTGGGGTAATAATTTGAGCTTCAAAAGCAGTGGATGTTTAGCATTGCTTAAATCATTCAGCACACCATCCAGGATATGATTACAACGTTTGCTAATATCTGTAAGTACTTGAACGGATTATTGAACATGTTTGGGTTTTTTTGTGACTGATTACTTGCACAGCCATAGTGCAGACTGAGGTCATTATGTTGCTGCTGTCATATGTGCCCCCCACCCCTTATCTCCACCCCCTCCACCACACACACACCCCACACACACACACACACAAACACACTTCCAGATATCTCTTTCATTGAATGTAAACAATTTTCCTTCTGAATATTACTGTTGGCTCTTCCACTGCCCTCTCAGATCTGAGAGCCCAACTGGCTGCATTAAAAAAATCACATTGCCTCCAATCCTTCGGCCACACATCTTAAAACTGTGTCCTCTGTTTACTGTATCTCACTTCTGCCTTCACCACAGCACCATCATTAAACAGGAGTCACTCAAAATCGAGTGACTGAGTGGCAATTATTTCTGGCCTCTCCCTGTTGGGATAATCCATAGTCACAAAGAGCATCACCTCTCAGTCTGTCCCTGATGTAGTTACATATCTACCGGTGGCAGTCAGGCTGAAGTAATATTCAGCTGAAGTCCTAGGGTATAAGTGACATGCCAAGCCATTCCGAAACTAGTAGGCATTGAGGCTGTCCTCATTGTGAGTTAGTTCCATGTCAATTAGTTTCCAAACCAATTTCAACACAATTCAAAACTGAGCATCACAATTGTGGCGCAAATGCAATAAGCTCCCTCTCATCAGCCCACCTCACCCCATGGGAATAGTTAGTTTACTCACTGAATACTCGAGTGCTATAGACAAGAGGGATGCTAAATTCAATTCCCAGTTTGTGAATGGATGAGCTGCTGTTAGTCTGCTTTTGGGTAACCACTCCCTTTGCCCTCCACAGAAACTGCACATACGTAGAATTCATTTTGAGGTTCAGCTGTGATGCATCCTGCAGTTTTACAATCCACCAGCATTCACTATCTGGACACCAGTAATTAATGCTACATGAGGAAGATATTGGAAGTTGCTGGGTGTATATGGAACCAGTAATGAGTTAATGCTTTAGATGAATATAGAAAACCAGAATATTCAGTAACAAGTTGCTAAAAAGGGGGTCCGTTGGCTGGATGGCTGGCTTGCAACACAGTGTGACACCAACAGTATGGGTTCAATTCCCACACCATCTAAGATTACCATGAAGGACTTTTCTTCTCACCTTTTCTCCTCACCTCAGATTAACTGACCACCAGTTACCCCTATGATCCCCTGGGACTACGGCAACTTTACCTATTGAACAAAGGACTTATGACATTGTGAAGAAGATCTATACATATTTCCTAAATGCTGCAATTTTCAGGTTCTTTCTGTGTAGTATTCTTCTATATTCAATCTCTCTGTCAAGTATTTGGTATATACCAAACATGGTTCTAATATTATGTGAGAAAGGCAGAAACCTATCAACCATCAAAGTAGTATGGCAATGGTTCACTTATATCCTAAACATGAAATTAAGTCTAAGATGGAATTACATTTAGTTTCCTTTCCTTTTGGTGGATACCTTGTGCTCATCAACTGTTGAGGAAAGGAAAGAGACCTGGAGTTTTGGAAGCCAATATTATTGTGTTCCAAAAGTCATAGAGGTTAATCCCTTTTGTATTGTCCCAGCTCGTGAAGTCCCTTTGAAAATTCTTGTTTAGCAACTAGCCATTTTCAGAACCGTAAAGTCATCAAGTCAAAGAGTCATACAGCACAGAACAGATCATTCAATCCAACTCATCCATGCTGACCATATATCCCAAACTTAACTAGTCCCATTTGCCTGAGTTTGGTCCATATCCCTTTAAACATTTCCTATTCATGTACCTGTCCAAATGTCTTTTAAATGTTGTAAATGTACCTGCCTCTATCGCTTCCTCTGGCAGTTCATTCAATAGACGTATCACCCTCTGTGTGAAAAAGTTGTCCCTCGGGTCCGTTTTAAATCTTTCCCCTCTCACCTTAACACTGATCAATGCATTCATTCAGAGTTGGGTGCAATGAATTTTCACTCAATATAAATTGGATTGGGACATCTCAAAATCATTCCACAAAGGAAGCTAAAAGCCAATGTATACAGAATGTCATCTTCCATCAGTCTGGGTTGGATTTATTCGCAGATTCTGAGGTTGAAAAAGGGTCATGTTGTAACTCACTACACTACCTAATAATTCTAATTATTACTCCCTCTAATTTTCCTCTCTCCTCTCATTTAAGTTAATATCTCATGCCAACATCGTAGATGTAACTCTTGCACCAAAACAGCGTCAAGAAATGATCATCTCCAATGAGAGAAACAATAACCTTCCATTGACAGTTAATGACATTACCATACAGAGTCCCTCTCTACCATGACCGGAAACCTAATTGGACTAGCCACATAAATGTTGTGACTACAACAGCAGGTCAGAGGCTTAGAATCAGCAGCAAGTAACTCACCTCCTGACTCCCCAAAGACACCACCATCTACAAGGCACAAGTTAACGAATATGATGGAAAAAATCTGCACTTACGTGGATAACATCAGATCTAACAATGCCTAAGGTGGGGAAGCAGTGGTTTAATCATTTTGTCACTGGCCTAGTAAAGCGGAGACTCAACCTATCATTCTGGGGATGTCTGTTTGAATCTCACCATGACAGATATTGAAATTTGAATTTAGTAAAAATATGAAATTAATAAATTATTAATGTAACCGCAGTTAATCATTGTAAAAACCTAGCTGGTTCAATTATGTCCTTTTGGGAAGGAAATCTGCTATCTTCACCTGGTCTGGCCAACATGTGTCTCCAAACTCATAGCAATGTAATTGACTTTTAATTGCCCTCTGAAATGCCTTCCAAATAGCTCAGTTCAAGTCAATTAAGGGTGGGTAGCAAATGCTCACTTGATCAGCCATGTCCACATTCCGTGAAACAAAATAAATTCTCCACCAAACAAAAAAGCTTCTCTCAATCTCCCTATCTGTTATTCTTAATATGCTGAAAATCAAATTACCCTTAACTTTAAAAATAAAGAAAATATATGCACTTGTGTAAATCCTCCTTGTAATTTCAGCATCAAAGTTCACTGTTAGGTGGGAGTTCCAGGAGTTTAATCCTGTGTCAGCGAAAGAACAGTAGTATTGGTCCATTTGCTGGTGATGAATTTGCACAGGGACTCATCACAGAATTTCTTAGTGTTGTTTTAATTCAAAATGAAATAAGATAAATAACAGAAGACAATATATGTGAATTGTTTTTCACCTTTTTTTGCATTGGTCTTCATTTTGCAAATTGTTTTGGCAATTGGGTAGAGGCAATGGTCCCAAAATAAGACATTTCAACAACTTGTGACACAGCTAGTTTATATTCTGAGCTCCATGTCTCATTGGCACCATGAATCCTTTAAATATTTATAAACAGAGTTGAGATTTCTCCACAGGGAGGGAGACGAAAAAGCAGAGGGCAAATCAAGTCAGAATTCTCTTGTGCATCAAGGCAGCCTGTTACAGAGCAGCACAGTGTCGAGTCCTGGGAATTAGACTGCCCGCCTAGCCTCTTAATTGGGAAATGTGAGACCTATATCGAAGGAGAAATAACAAAACATCGTTGCAGAAAAAGGAACCTTTCTTAAACTGTAAAATAAAAGATATATAGTGTAACATAGTGTATAGTGGACATAGTATGTTGTTCCTTTGCAACACACATGAAACAAAACCCAGTAGTGTACAGTTGAAATCATTTACAGAAGTGCAAAACCATACCTGTTCCCATTAAATTGATTAATAATGGGGATCTGTGATTCCTGGCTTTCCAGCATGCCACCAAAAAAGTCTTGTCACAACTTGAATAAAGCAACCTTGTGTGGATGTTACTAGTACATATTGTCGAAAGTACCCAGCATGAAAACAACAGGACATTTTATGTACTGTCATCCCAAACCTTCAAGGACATCCTGGGCTCAATGTAACCTTGTATAACATTTTTGCTGATTGCTATTTTTTGGTCATCTGGAGAAGATTATCAACCTGCACTTATCATCTTGTCACTACAAGGTAAGGATGAGTGCATGAGTTGCTTTCACTCTTGATGCACATCATTGTCCTGCTACTGACCAAGAATGTTTCAAAAGCAACATGCATGTTAATGTGCACCCTGACCACATGGTAGTTTTCTGCCATTATCCTCTTTAAATGTATAGATCCCAGGGATGCTACTGTGGTAAAGGAAAACCATTCAGTAAGGGTCTAACTGGAATAATTCTTATACTGAACAAGAAGTTGTTTATTGCATTTAGCAATGGGTTACAGGTTACATTGATTTGATAGACATAGTTACAGAGATTGAGGAGGATATGGATGTTAAGTTCTCACATGTCAGAGATCCTAACCCAAAAGTCTATACAATGTCATAGTGGGTGGTGGTTATGGTACTTCTCAGCATTAACCCTTTCAGACTCTCGCAACCTTGTACTACTAAAACTTTCCCTCCCAGTCAGTGGTATTTTGATAATTTAGAAATGAATCCATGAGAGTGAT